AAACAGTGGAGATGACAGTGTACTTCATGAAGAACTGTGTGTATATAGTACTTTATTTTTACTCCCAAGGCACATTCCTGTGCTTGATTGCACATTACGTCTTTACTTCAGTTCTCAGTCTTATATTGGTTACTTGCCCACTGCTTACATAATACCATGTACATAGACATTGAGAGCTGCTGTACCAGAGTCAAATTCCTTGTGTGTTCAACACACCTGGCCAATAAAGCTGATTCTGATTCAAAAATACAGTTTTAAGAGGTGGAATGAACTTTAGTTTATCAGAGGTGTTGGGACAAAGGTCAGGGGATATAGGATATAGAGCACTTATTAAGTTTTTACAGAGCACAGGGTTACACAAGATAATATAAGGTGAACTGAGTGGGGTTATTTTGGTGTGGTGGTAGGTAGGGGTCGTTCTGATCCACACTCCAGTCTGGAAGATGGCGGTAATGCACCTAAAGGTGGTTGCCAACCGCCATTGAGAGACATCTGAAGAAGAAGAAGGCCATTTGAGGGCACTGTAGATGCAGTGCACGAGCAGTTTCCAGCAATGCACTTTTACTTTGTTGCTAGGGTTAGCACATCAGTATTTATACTAGAATTGGCTTTTGGAAGGCGGTGGGCAAGTGAAGCCTCATGAAGCACTGAGGCTTTCCTAACAATTGTTCCGAAAACGATTCAAAGCTTCAAGATTTCAGTGACGCTGACATCTGGTGGACAACTGAAGCCATAGCAGCCTCTAAAGAGCACGACTGAAGCACTGGCACTGTTTCAATCCCATGACAGCAATAAAAGTTCAGAAAAGTCTGTGTGGTCATTCAAGTGTTTTGTTCATTCATACCAAATAATGATTATATCGTCATTACAATAAAATATGCAGATGCTCTCCCCCATACTGTAAAACACATTCCAGATTAACCCAAACAATCAATGCAAATTATATTAAGGGTTAAATGTTGGTTAAGGGTTAATTTCAAGCTTTGAGCTTTATTTAAATACTGTACTAAAAGCCCCTAACAGGATTAGAGATCCTTCCTACTTTGCAAATGATCATGGTGTTTGAATTCAGAAACATTGTATCTTTTTTGTGTGTGAAGTGTTTAAGGAAAACCTTTAAAGATAATGGTTTGTCATTTGGGGACTTGTATGGTTGATTTGGAATGATTATTCACAGAAGCAGACATACATAAAATGTATG